CAGAGAAATCGGCGTCCACGTTCTTAATAAACACACTGTATACCTACGTTCACTCTGATTATCAATCAGTGAATTGTTATCATCAATTGTTATCGATATTTTTGTAAAAAAAAGGGGGAGTTCCAGCTGTTAGCTAGATTTAAGTACAACATCATCTTAGAAGAGAAAAGGATTGAAAAACGATGAAAATCAAATTTTCGACGAAAAATTCCGGACGAAAGGAGAAACGTGGTGTCCTGGCGCAGTGGTTTCGCCAGCCTAATTGTGTATTAATCGAGCAAGTAGTAGTATTTTAGGCGTGCTTTCGATCTGTGTAAAATTTTTTACAAAAGGAATATTCTTTTTCAGGGAAATCAGTGTCCACGTTCTTAATTAACCTCCTGCGCTGGAATAACGTGCCACGCACGTCGTGAATTTTTTCTCCCAAATTGCAACATTTTTTCAGTTTCTAAGTATATTTAAATGTAACCCAAGCAAAAACAAATGATAGGTTTATTACTTCTTAATAATTTCTATTCTGTGATATCATACCGACGAGTTCAAAAGAAGAAGAAAGCGACGAATTATTATACACGGCTCGGTCACTCGTTATGGTCCGCGAACCAGTTGCTAGCGCAAGGGGTTAACTTTTTGAGATTAGATAATAAATATAGGTATAAATAAATTAGTAATACCTGATTTATATATATTTACTATATATAATAAATAATATAATAATATTATAATAAATAATAATAAATTAGGTATTACTCTGTAATAAAGAATTAATTTATTACTTCTTAATAATTTTTATCCAGTGATATCGTACCGACGAGTTCAAAAGATGAAGAAAACGACGAATTATTGTGTACGGTTCGGTCACTCGTTATGGTCCGCGAACCATTTGCCAGCGCAAGGGGTCAAACACACTACACTGAAATGCTACATTGGCTTTGAATAGTAGATCTCACAGTAATTCTGCAGTCTAACAACCAATTGTGCTTTTAACGGTATTTTAGACGTACGTTCGATCTGTGCCAGGTTTTTTTTTTTTTACAAAAAGAATATTTTTTTGAGAGAAACGACCTTGTTAAACGCACCGTAAATTTCCTCGATGGTAAGAGAGAAGCGGGCGATCTCTCGAGACACACAATCTATCTGTCGAGAGAGAAGGGGGAAGATTGGAATGCACGCTCGCGGTTGCCACGCAGGAATCTCGCGGATTGTCATCAGGCTGGTGAATAGACGTCGGCAAACTGTGTCACGTAGCATGAGGATCTCCTCGGACGGTCATTAAGCGATCTTAACTACATGCCGGCGAGCTCGCGTGACCAACTTAACGCGGAACTTTCGAGTTCCCCGGCTGTAAAACCGTTCGTTTCCCCGGCTGGCCGCATGTACTGTTACAATACGATTACGCCGCCAATTGCGAACGAGTGTGAAAAAATCGCGAATAAATAAACGTAGTGGTTCTTGTCGATTGGACTTAACGTTCGAGATAGAAATAACAGTCGTAAGAGGGGGAAAAAAAAAAATAAATAAATAAATAAATAAAATCTTCCGCGCCTCGAACTTTCTCTGCCGAGCTCGAGGAATAATTTTCAACCTCGTGGAATTCGAATTTTAAAGTTTCACTCTTGCCGTAGAGATTTCTCGGCGACGTTATTATTACACAAGTCTCGGTCGATCGTGATCGACGTAAGAAGAAAAGAAATGAATAGTCGCAAGCGTGTTAATAGTCGATCGTGCGTGGATGAAATCGATGTGTGTCGGGAAAGTATGAGCGCGGAATAATATGCGGGTCGAGCGGTTGCTTTCAAGAAGAGTGTGGAACGCAGACGACAATCGACGCGCCGGGAGAAAGAGGAAGAAAAAAAAAAAAAAAAAAGATCGGTTCGACGGATCGTTTCTCCTCGCGATCTCGCGGAGATCTCTTCTCACGATAAAGAGAATCCACGCTGGAGTCCTCCGGGGGTGACTTCTTTATTCGCCGTCTCTGTCTCGTTTTCACTCGTCAGCGTCACGACGAGATACGAACCGCAGTGTTGCAGCATTTGCTTTTCCCGCCGCGCCGCGTGAAAGTATCCTCCACTTCGGTTTCTCCTCCCTTTGTCCCTCCGCCGATTTCCCGAGAGATAGAAAGCAGATTGACCCGTCGGGTCACCGTCGGATAACCAGCTGATCGTTGATCGATGGTCGCCGCCGTCACTCGCCAATCACGAAATCACGGCCGCGATTTTTCGTAGAGGCCGCTCGGGCTCGTTTTCACGCGAGTCGCGCGGCGAATGGAAAGTCCTTGCTTCGAGCTAATCGGTAAATCGTTCGGGGCGAGGCGCGCACGCAACCTTCGGACGAGACGAGCGGGAAACGTCGAGACCGGCTACTGGGAAAACGATATCGACGGCCACCGATCGCACAGAGCGAGAGAATAAAACAAGAGATGAGAGAAGAAAAAAAAAACTCGTTAACACGTTCGCGGATAGTAGTAAAAAAGGATATACTATTATTATACTATTATATAGGTTATACTATTCCTAGAATTTTTAAAAATATATTTCCTAATAGTATAACAGTATTTTCTAAAGTATAATATTTTTAGAAGTGTAATATTTTCTGGTCCAAAATTGCAATATTTCCTTAGTGTTAAATATACTCAGGTGTAACTCTGGTAAAATAAGTAAATTTATTATTTCTCAATAATTTCTGTCCAGTGATATCGTACCGACGAGTTCAAAAGATAAAGAAAACGACAAATTACTCGTTCAGTCACTCGTTATGGTCCGCAATCAGTTGCCAGCGCAAGGAGTTAACCTCTAACGTGTCGCGAATTTTTTATCTCAAAAT